GCAGTGTGGCACCAAGAAAGATGTGCCACACAATAATAACAAAACAACATAGATCGAAAGTAAAAAATATATAAGTAGAGAACGGGTAAAGAACTTCATCTGGAAGGAAAACAGTCATACTTAACAAGTTCAAACAGCATTTGTCAACTGTCATCGGGAAGGGAAGAAAAAAGGAAATTGCAACACGTTCGCCATTGATTACGATTCTTGGCCATATCCGATAACGTTTCGAGCCATCGATTCGGGCTATCTCGCGGACCCCAACCAGGGAGTCGTGACGCACCAACCGACGCTGATCTAGCACAAACATCCTTCATCCCACAACGCCACGTCATGGACTGACCACCCCTCCGCCTTTTCCGTCCCGTCCCAGGGCTAGCGAACAGAGACCACCGGTACGGTAGCCTCTGGAATGACATTCGCACCAAATGTCCAAGCCACCATAGCCGGTGTTTCCAGATGACGACACTCAGTGAATGTTGATCTGCATTGTGTTCAAACACACGCCGCTGAACCTCAGAATTACTCACGCGATGATGCCATCGAACGCAAGCAATCCTGTTGAGACAGCGATGATCGAACACGCAGAGCCGCCGCACATCCTCAGCCTACTCGGAGACGCCAGGTTTCACAGGCGAAGAGCAAGACAGCCCGCACCGAAGCATTGACAGCCAGGCTAACGTCACGACGGCGCCAGAGGTGGCTCAAGTTTATGTATGCCACCCTAGCCTTCATCGTAAGGTTGGAAATCTCATCTGTCACCCCTCCACCAGCACACACACACACACTCTCTCTATATATATATATATATAGAGAGAGAGAAAATCAAGATCTCAAGCCGATAGTTAAAGATAAACTAATGCACGCGTACGGGTAAAATGTACACTTCAATTCCCATCATCACTAATACGTAAGAAGCTGTTCGTAACTAGAAAATAGCATCATATCATGAAATCTGTAATTACGTCGTGAAAAAAGCTGTGAAATTCCGCAGGAGGATATAAATCGAAGTAGAGACATAGCTAAATCATTGCATCATCATCATCACCACGGGAACCTTCTTAGCACCATTCTGTCTAACGCAAACAAAGTATTTATGTGACGTCTGACGTAGACGAGATATCCGGTTATTGATCGAATGACATGTGCACTGTGGAGCAGTTCACTCTGTCCTTAATTCTGCCCCTAAGACATAGCTACTGGAAGATATGAAAAGGCTAGCTGTCTTTGACTGGAGATGTTTGCAGTCTGTTAAGTAGCACCACAATACAGTGAGTAATGTTGAGGTGAGGTGTAGAGTAATAAGTAAGGGAGATGGCTTACGCATACCCAGCCACCACCTTCCTCAGTGAACAATATCAGCTAACACTAGATTAAGTTGGGAAAGAGTTAGGGCGGTGTTATGATTTAGCCGAGGGTGAATACGAATGTTGACTGACGATAATCAACCCTTGATAATTTCCCAGTCGACTATTTACCTAACCCGAAATTAGTCAAATCCAGAATATTCACACATTAGGCTTGGAAATCGTGTATTCCTAGAACAAATGAGAAAGAGTACAAACACATGAGTCACGAGGCTTGAATAGTAGGCGTTAACAGTCTGCTGGATTCTGATTGCTTGATGCCACAATGTGACTTGTTAAATAACAAACTAATGGAATATAAGTATAAAACTTGAGCACTGTAGTAGAGTATAACTCCATTATAGATAAGATTTTATTTTGATAAATCACACAGTGTTGTTATACAGTAATATTAACTGATGACCACGTTTCGAGCACAAATTATTGCCACTCATAATCATATCAAGGCACTACTCACACAACCTTTTACTTCATTTATATACATGAGTGGAATTGACTAGATGTTTGAATAAAAATCAATATGAGGTAATGTACATTCAGAAATAATAATATGATTGTTATGGATCAATTACAATTAGATGGGAAATGAGACGAGTGTTTTTATAGTCAAAATAAGTAACTTGTTAGAATGTTACGATGTACGTGAATTGAAATAGAATTTTAAGATTATTTATTATCCTTCTCTGATTTGACTGGCGGTAATAATATATTCCATATTTCTGGTATTTGCATTGAGTCATTTCTGTTGCATGTGTTGAGTGTAGACTCGATGAACCAGGCAGGATTCATTAATCAATCTCTCTCCACCTACCTAGATTATTTCTTAGAATTTTAACCCTCTCCCACCCCATTGCGTGTTAATGCATGCAGTGCAATCGCTGAGCTTTTTTCTAGATTATCTATAGTGGACTAATGGGATAGTTTGTGGATGTATATCAGGGAAGCCAAACCAGAACCTCGAATCAATTCATGGAATTTTTGACTGTTGGTTTCGGCTATGTAAAGTGGTGTAGGGACTGCCTACTTGGGGTCTTCTAGGTGCCACGAACCCAATGGCTGGAGACTATTGGTGATATGGCTCAAAATCCTTCTCAATGGTAAAGATGCATTCGCTTTTTGCAATCTTCCATATACATTAAATCTTCTTGTTTTCCTGCGTTACTATTCTTTCTCACCCGCACGTTTCTGCATATCATAGTACCTTTATGTGATGCATAGTATGTGGAAACTTGAACTTCTGTGCAAACTTAAATGCTGAATATATGTGTAGAACTTGGGCACTGTGGTAGTAAGTAATTCCATATTAGATTGTTTATTAGATATATCACACAGCGAAACAGTATTACTTACTGGATGACAAAGTTTCGAACAAAATTTATTGTTCATAATCATAAAGATTATAATCCCACGACTTCGAAACTTTTATAGTTTTCTTTGTCCTCTCCTATTTGTCGTAGGGGTAGTCGAATTCTCCAGATATCTGGGTGGACGGGTACTGAATCATTCCTATTACACGTGTTTGCAGTTGATTCGATAAACAAAGCTTTAAAACAAAACAATTTAGTTTATCTGATACCCTGCAATGACTGCCAGGTCAAATATATAGATCAAACTAGTAGAACAGGGGCAGTCAGACTAGCCGAACAGAAAAACCTAGCTGCAAAATCTAGATTGGTTGATCCAAATAAGATAAGAAATCTAGAGAATAGTTCAGCTATACCAATCACTACATGCAGTTGCACACAACCATACAATAGGATGACAGTTTTAAAATCTAATGTGACAGGGTGAAGGGAGAGATTGATAACAGAAGCTTTGTTTATCGAATCAACTGCAAATACATGTAGTAGGAATGATTCAACACCTGTCCAGCTGGATATCTGGAAAATTCTATTACCCCTACGACAAATGGGAGAGGACAAAGGCTACTATAAAACTCAAGTTTCGAAGTCGTGTGATTATAATCGTTATAATTATGAACAATAAATTTGTTCGAAACGTCATCCAGTAAGTAATACTGTTTCGCTGTGTGATATATCTGAAAAAGGCAATCGAAAAGGCAATACTGGTGCAATAAGGAGTGTGATAATTGAACACCTGGTCAGCACTGATCATTGCATTTCAACGAACGCCTCCTTCAAAGTAATCTACCGAGTCAAGAACAACATGTCAAAGGCAATACGGTTTCGTCTCCTCTGTATCGCTGAAGCTCTAGCCATTCACATGGAAAAACCGGAGCTGTGCATACAAAAGAAGATTACTCAACCACTTCTACTCTCATGGTAACAATGTTTTGATTTTTATTTTATTTTATTCTGATAACTTAACTTTGTTTCTTTGCCTGTTCCTTAGTTGCTTATAATTCTTGTATTCACTTAGATCTCTTACATAGTTTCGTATTATCTACTTTGTTTCTATGTGCATCCTGAGTAAAACTCACTCATCAAAATATTCATATTATTATTGCATAACTTCTTTTAACAACTGTTTGTGACAACTCATCACCTTTGTTACTATCCTAGCACTTAATTGCCTTGACTTATATTACCAACCTTTACCTGATTAGTTAAAATAACCTTAAGCAATTGTAATTCTTGTATCCACTTAGATCTCTTACATAATTTCTACTTTGTTTCTGTGTGCATCCTGAGTAAAACTCACTATTATTATTACAACTGTTTCTGACAACTCATTACCTTTGTTACTACCCTAGTTTTCTTGACCTGTATTACCAACCTTCACTTGTTTAGTTAAAATAACTATAACCAATTGTATTTTTGTTTGATAAACTTAATGTACACATACAAACAAAACAATGCATATATATTTGCGATTGTACAGCTAAGAAGATGAATTCGCCGAAAAGAGACTCTTCGCTGATCTACGTGTTTTGTTTTCATTAATGCCTGGATGGGGATTATCCATGAATATATCTGATAAACAAACTAATATGAAACTCAGTCGGTTAGCCAATCATTTACGTGACCCAATAACCATTCGTGTTTCTATGCACTTGGACCGGTAATACTACAGTAGCAGTAGCTGCCAAAGCCTTGGTAGATGAGGCCGAGTTTGAACCCGTTACCCAGTAGTTGAAAGTTAAGAAGCCTAGACGAATAAGCCAAGGCCCAACTAGTCAGTGTATTTTTATCGTGGAATATACTCTAATGGACAGCATTCGACGCTTTTATCAAGTTAAACTACACCTTTAAACACTTGCAATCGGCACTGTCCTTACAAAAGTTAATCCATCCTCCCCCTACCAAAATCAATAGTGATAGTTACACTGAAGGAAACACACAAAATAGTTTTGAAACTGCATCTATTCAAAAATGTTATAATTAAATAAAAAAAGAAAATCAAGCAAGTAAACAAGTGAAATAATTAAGAAAAAAATTATTACTATCAATGATATTATAGTACAGGGTGAGATGAGATATTAGGAGATAACAAAAAAAATGTTATCCTCAACTATTTGTTGCATATTATGCTGCAGCATTTTGTTTTGACAGCTAAATTGTATTATATTATATTAGTTAGTAAATCACAGTAAAAATGTATAAAGCTGTACGGAAGTGTAATACAGTATAGTGTGTATATGATGTGCATAGGTGTAAATATGAATTCACATAATTAATTTAATTGTCGACGGCGAGCTTTCTGTTTATCAAAACGTGCTTCCATTTCCTCCAAAATACGTGGAGTATACCTCACTACAAGTTTCACTGTGCCTAAAAAGTGAACAGAATTTTATTTTACAGATTTTTAAAGAATACATTTCATATCAACACATGTATCAAATATTGAATAATCGAAAACAAATCCCTTACAATATCAGTTCAGAATGTGTTTGTCTGTCTGTTTTCGACATAGAACTTTGCACCAATGTGCGGTAGTTCAAGTCGCCACACTCCCTCTTTGTAGCACACAAAGCAAGAGAAGAAAGTAGGAGAAATGCATACTGGAGACGGTAAACAGAGGTGTGAGACAAAGGAATAGTAATAACGAAGAACAATATAGTTTCACTGGAAATTATAAGTCACGAAGAGTGGATGCATCTGCGGCACTGAGAACGATTTTGAGCCACATCACCAATTGTTTCCAACCATTGGTTTTTATCGTCTCGAGGACCCCAACCAGGAAGTCTACACCTTCCTACGTGGCTTAGACTAACTGTTGTGGATTTCATTGACTGGTGCCATGTTTTAGTTTGACCACCGCTAGCTCTTTTCCAGCATGGCCCTATATCAGCTAACATCGCCCGTCGAGGAAGGCGATGACTAGGCATACGTATCACATGTCCCAACCATCTCAGTCGGTGTAATTTCACAGTTTCGTCGACTGATTTTCCCGTCTTACCTAGCACTCAACGCCTTACCTCAATATTGCTCACCTTATTGTACCACTTCACACGGGAGATAGAACGCAGGCACCTATGATGTGAAATGGAGAAGTCTATTTACTTGTAACTGCAAAAGTCCAGAAACACACTTAAATCGATTAACTAGGTTGATTAGCGTGGACCCTAACCTTAGCTCTCTTCATGGTAGCCTACAGACGCTAGCTGTAAATTTGTAAAAACCACAATTCTCTAGAATATGTATCGATTAGGCATACAAGTCAACTTATCATGAAGATATTTCTACATGGCAAAAAAGCTACTGTTTGAAATGAAACATAACTTAGAATGAGTAAGAGTTTGATACCTGACAGATAGTATGAAATACTACGATAGGTAGCACAGTATATTACAGAATAACATACTGACGAAGTCGATGAGAAAAACACAGAAATGACATGATCACAAAGCCAAATAACTGGACATCTTCCTGAAGTAGTGTTATCCTACTAAAATCGAAATTTAAGGACTCACTGACCAAATATATGAAGAATTACATAGTAAATCAACTAGGATTCACTGCATAACCACAATCATCAGACACGAATTTAACAGGGCACTACATATATATTCACTCATAACACATTTTCCCTTGCAACCTAGCAAAATCAAAGACAAACTTCACTCATAACATAATAACGACAAAGAATGGTTGACATTCCATATAAAATTTAGTGCAACTTTGAAATGCTTCACTATAGGCTAAAAAGTGTTAATTAAGCAACTTTACTTCAAAATAAAATACTGACAATCACAAATGAAAAATTGGAGGATGTTACACAGCCGTCCAACAAAGCCTTGTACAAAGGAACTGAATATGACAAGTGTTTTAACACCGGTTGAATTTAGTTACTAGTAAAGAAATACAATAAGATGACAACACACCTTAGAAAAGGTTAACAGCTACCTTTAGCCGGTTTTAACAGAAACAAACAGACTGATGTTGAAAACTCTGTACAGAAAATAACGAGCTAGGAGGGTAAGAAATATCATCAAGATAATTAGCAATTTGAAACATTAATTAAATTGGTTAGAAACATGAAAAAAGATTGGGGAAAAACATAAGATGATGTAGTACATACCTTGGGCTAACTTCAAAAGTTCAACAGCTCTTTCATGATGCTCACTTTCTACAGAAACTCCGTTTACAGACAACAATTGGTCACCACGTTTTAGACCACCATGACGATCTGCAACACCACCAGGAATAATTCGACTTATGTATATCGGTGAGTTTTGTTCTTTGCCGCCCATAACATTGAAGCCTAAACCTTCATCAGTTTTTGGTAGTTCTATAACTCGTGGATGAGCATGCCCCTCACTGGCAGCAAAGGCTGCGACAGTGGCTTTCGCTGTTGCACTTGCTTTGACCTAATAAGGAAAGAAATACAGATATATATTTCACTGGATGTATCATCATACACTAACGTTCTATTGCTCGAAACAGTCAACTACTTATGTTACCTACTTGACAGAACCGAAGATAGATATAGGAATCCCATCAGAAAAAGTCAGGGAATTACTATTGAAATGGACAATGGATGTCCAGTTTATGTTCAATAATGATTTTTATAGACAAGCTGGTGGTGTCACCATGGGATCACCTCTGGGCCCTATGCTAGCGGATATTTTGGTCCGCTCAAAGACACGATTAAAGGGGCTTGACTATTATAGTTGATACCTAGATGATACCTTCATGGATTGTCGTAGGAATCTTAATAAACAAGAACTTCTGAATGTTGTTAATAGTGCTCACCCAGCTATTCAGTTTACATGAGAAGAAGAGAACAACAGTATGTCTTTTCTAGACGTCCTACTGACCAAGAAGACAGGCGGATATCTACAAAGGAGTCTATTTAGAAAGAAGACATGAACAGGTCAGTACAGCCATTTTCATATCTTCACACCAACTCAATACAAAAGAAACTTAGTCAAGTGTCTTAGCTATAGAATAAAAACGCATATGTTCGGAGTAATCATTAAGGAAGAAATGTGTATACTGAAACTTATACTACAAAAAAATGGATATTTGGAGAACTTCCAAAAAAACCTATGTCAATACCTAGAGATAGAGTAACAATGGATACCGTAGGTAAGCAACCTTTGTATCTTATACTGGCTCGCTGTAAACAGAAAAAGTATGGTTCAACCGCTATGTTAACCTTGGCCTACAATAAGGCCAACAAATCCTCTATAAATATTAACACTTTAAATTCTCATCGCAATATTTTCTTTTCGTCTCCTTTTCCTTTGTTTCACTGACAAATGTTCATTTCTGACCTTTTACGACTTCAAGACGTTTCTTATAATTTTTATTACCTTGGAGTTAAGTAATGATTTTCCAACTTATCATATTTACAAAATCCTGTTCATTTAACTCCACTAAATTCATTATTATTATCTGATAAGCATTTATGAATAGTACTTATAAGTTTACACTCCATAATCGTCATTATTTCACAATCATGATTATTGTCGTTATTTTCACTCTTGGGTTGACGTCTACTTTATTTCCTGTAGTATTCATACTGTCTCACACACCACCGATTACACTCACTCTCGAAACCTGTATTCGTGTTGACTATATATATATATATATATATATATATATATATATATATATATATAGGGAGAGAGAGGGGGGAGAGATAATATGTTGGCTTTTAAACAATAATTTTCAAGTCAATGTCTGCATCCTTTGATTGTCTTTTAACACTAAAGAGAGGGAAATCAAGTTTTTATATATGCGATCCAGTTTGACAGAAAACAGTGTATGATACATTCTGATTATAGTATCACTGATTTTATTCGCATAATTACATAAACCATTTCTAGATGGCTAATAAAACAAAATGCATAATATGCCACCATATGGACACTAATTGTTCTAATCAGCACTTTCCTTACATAAAAGCCAAACCATTAATTGAGTAAGCTCAAGGTTGTAAAATGAACTTACTTCCTCTGAACCATTAATGTCTACGGTTGTATAGATGTGTTCGTAAACTTCACGGATCATATTGCAGAAATCTGACTGCAGTATGCGCTGCAAAGCAGCTAACTTTGAGGGCTGGATTTCAGGACATCTTTGTAGGATTTCTAGCAGTTCCAGAACTCTGGTGATGTCTAAGAGTCTAATAAAAACACTTTCCTAACAAACCTCTTTGCAGGCTTAAGCCTTCCGCCATCTTTCAATGTTCCAATATCCAATATCCAATATCCTGATTACGAGCTAGTATAAACCAGTGATTTCTTTGAGCTCGCTTCTTGATTTTAAGGTAGAGGTTCCAGATCTTCGGTGAACTCATGCGTAGTAAATCCCGCCACTCGACTGCTTTAGCTCTGGTAGACTCCAGGAGGAGTGATGCGAGGATTGGTCAAGATTGTGGTTTGTAGTGTGCAGTATGTTAGGACTCAGCTGCTGCCGTGAATGGAGTTTGACCTAACACCCGTTGGTCATTCGGTATAGTCATAAAAGTAGAGTAATAATAATAATGATAATAATAATAGGTTGTAGTGTAGATAATATAGGTTGAGATAAGTGAAATAATAAAGAAGGAAAGAAAAGAAAAGAAAAGAAAAGATAGAGTAGTCGGTACAGTGGGAGAAGACAGGACGGGTCGTGGGGATTTAGCTTGTGTGCTTATCCATTGACAATGTGGTTTCAAATTTTAAGAGGGTAAGCCATTGAGACACAAACCATGCATTTCTGCATGATTGTCCAGCTTCCGCTTAAAAATCTCCACAGATGGAGCTGTAGTTACGGCCGCCGGTAAAGCGTTCCAGAGACGGCAAACTCGAAGCGAGAAGAAATGTGAACGCACTCGAGTCCTTGGTCTCTGGTGTGCTATCCTTAGCGGGTTACCTCGTGGAAGCCTATAATCACTTAATGGCAGGATGCTCTTATCAGGATGGGCCTGGTCATTTAGGATCTTATAGACGGTGATGAGGTCTCCCCTGTGACTACGGTAACTGAGTGTGAAAAGACTTAATTTCTTCAGTCTTTCCTCATATGATTTGTTGCGGAGGCCGATCACCCATTTTGTCGCTCGTCTCTGGACACTTTCTAGCATGTTAGCATCCCTTTTGAGTAGCGGAGGAGCAATGATATTATGCACCTCGAGGAGTGGCCTCACATATGTCGTATACAACGTTAGGAATAGTTCAGGAGTAAGAGCTCCCAGTTGCCTATGTGCAGTTGGCCAGCTAGTGTTAACCAGATCTCGCTCATACTAGCAAACTGCACATTTGAATGATTCAATTTAACGTGATGTTTAATGAATCTGAAACAAATCACGGTATTCGATGAATATCTACGTTTGTAGTCCCATGATTCTCTTGCCTGTGTTTTTCTTATGCTTGGAAGTTGGATTAAATTTGTAAAATAGTCTTGTAATAAGTATAAAGTGATTCTAACATCTGCGTATGCAATGCCTTTATATGACAAGTGAATATTTTCTCTACTTAAAATCAATCCACAATTTACTTAAATGACGCTGGTCGTTCTTAAAAAGAGCACTGTACGCTGAATTAAAAATAATATTTGTAGGTGAAACAATGCCTTTAATGATGAAATAAAGCTCAAATAATTGCTACTATGCTCTGAACTAAGTCCTTTTATTGTGAGGTAATGCCAGTCAGTGCTGAATCTGGGCTGAGAGGGCTGAAATATAACTGATTAGCAAACCCAGTAGGTTTGAGGCCACTTTTGAAAATGCCTAAAATAAGCACATGGTGCTGAATTACTGCCAGTCATACTGAAGAGCAGCACTGAATTCTAGTCTCTGCGCATAGTCAAACCATTTCAGAACAATTTCAGAATTTAATCGGCATAGAGTGTCAGACTTAGTTCAGAATTAGCAAGACTTAATTCAAAATTATTGTGAGCTTGGGTGGTCTATGATATGTTTAGCGTTAATATGATTGAAGTCAGTACTTTCACCAGTAAGTCGTTTACTGTGATCTCAGTGATTTAGAAGAGAGCGATGACTGCGACTAAGCTGATTTCCAACAGGAGGAACGATAAATCAATAGGACGACTCAGGAAAGTATACATGCTATACCAAACGGAATGATGCTGTGAGCAAGATTGTCATTTCGCATGTTAAGACAGTGAGCAGCTTGTTAGATAACGGTTACTGTTAGGTGTCTGGGGATTTCATCTTGGTTTGGTCAGACTGACAATCATCTGGGGACAACCCATGAATGTCACTATTTCAATTTTTCACTTATGTTGAAGTAGCCACAGCTAGGAATGTGCTCCGGAATCGGCAAACGAAAAGAAGTGAGATGGAACAATAGTTTCACTATTTTGGAGAAGAATCTTTCGTGGAATGCCACAAGGATAACTTAGTGACCTGACGACAGTATCTCTCTTTGTATGGCTGTAACTGTTTGTAGTCTTATCTGCAGTCACGAGGTCTTCCTAAACCATAGGTAACTAGTTGCAAAGTGGCCTAATTTCTGCGGCCTTTTCGACTGATCACAAGTGACCGTATTGTACTCATGTTTTATGGGCCTATATTGATAAGTTTAGGAGAGTGCAACCAGTTGTCTATGTGTGTAATGTAGGATAGTATATGCTTTGCTGGCTTCCATAACCTACTTTGCACTTGAAAAAGAGAAGACATTCAGCGAAGAGACTCTTTTCGGCGAATTCATTCACATAGCTGTACAATCGCATTTATATATAAATATTTGTTTGTGTGTGTACATGAGGTTTGTCAAGTTTAGATAATTGATTAGTTAATACAAGAATGATGTAGTATAGAGACAAAGTTAATCAGACAGCAACTAAAGTAAGACTGAGTTAAAAAACTAGATGACGTAATATAATTGGCTAAAATGTTACAACTTAGGTAAGGATAGCAACAGAGGTAATTGCAGGTAGAGATTAAGTAGAAGTGAAATTGAGTGAATAAGTTGGATGACGTAACATGAATGACTAGAAACTGAGCGTTGTTCAAGTCAGTAACAGTGGTAGTGGGGTGTAGAGATTGAATCGGGTGGGGGCAGAGAACAAGAAAGTTGAGAATGTAAAATGTTATAATTGAGAAGACAAAATAATACTAATGAAGAGACAGAAAAAAAGATTAGGTAGAATTTACATGTCGGCTAATAAGATAGATTACGTCCATTGCAAGTGTAGCGATTGAACGAACTTCTTCTGTATGGAGAGTTCAGGACTTAGCAAGTGAATCGCCATTGCTTCTGCAGTTTGAAGAAGTCTGATTCGTACACCTTTAGGGAGACCACCTCTTACTCTGTAGACGACTGTGAAGTTTGTTTGCGGTGTAGCTTGGTGTCCGGATTCTATCAGATGTTCTAAGATGGAACTGCGGGGGCATCGATTTTCTCCTTTGTAAAACCATGCTGGTAAGTGCTCGGTGATACGTTTGGAAACTGAGCGCTGGGTACGGCCGACATACCTGGCTCCACACGAGCAGGTGAATTGATAAATGCACATTGATGAGGCCAGCAGCGGTAGCTTATCCTTCATGTTCACATGAATCATAGTTTTTGTGGAGAAGGTTAGTCGTACTTCAGCTGCGAAGAAGGTCTTCCTAAGTGAGCGCGATAGTCGATTTTTTAGTGTTTCCGCAGATAGATCTCCATTGAATTGGAGGTTCATGTAGAGTAGTTTTTTCTTGACGCTTAGTATGGGCGGCTTTTCTGGCCTTAAATTTTAATTATTTCTTCATTCAAATATTTAAAAAAGAAACTTTTTTGTACCTATCACTGATAACATGGTATTATGAGTATTTCAGCATGCTAAGAGTTCAGTCTCAAGTTCCAGATGCAAATCAACTGAAGACGACTGGTATTAAAATGTCTCTGGAGACTGCCTAATGCTACTTGTTAGCACTGTCTGCATATACGCAAATTAAGGCCCGAATGTTGGTAGTCTAAATAATCAACTATACGGTGAGTCCTAAATAGTAATGAATCCTATCTTACTGTTCTATAACTATAATCTTGTTTAGTCAAATCTTTCGGAACAAAATATTATAAATTACTACTACTTATATGTTTAATGCTGCATGATTATGCACTGTTTTCCGAAATTACATTTGTTTATATCTAAAATGTCGACTCTGATAGTCTATTTTCCTTATACTTTTATTATTGTTCCTCTCCAAAATGCTGTAACAGATGAAACATACATGACGGTCTTCTGAAAGTAGTCACTCATACCATGACTTCGAATGAGTTGACAAATGAATATTTTTTTAAAAAAAAAAGAGAAAAGTTTGTGGCATATTATAACAGAAATTAAAAGATATATATAAAAAATGAAGCATTTTGCCAGGGCCTTGCACAAAAAGGGTGGGAGGGTGGTGATTGCTAGTCAGCGGATATGATGGTGGGGACATATGAGAACCACCCTTATCTGTGGGACAGCACTCTATTGCCAAGGCTCCTGAGTTCGAATGGCTTCTGCAAAATAAGAGAATAGATAAAATTTAAAAAAAACAGAAGTTGTAAATTTGCCTAAAGCTGAAGTTTAAATAACAAACTCCTCGAATGCAAGTACATGGTATGAGTCCCCTACTTCAGAAGGGCACCTAAATGTATACTTCAGAAAAACAGTAGTTATTATTAAGCCCTCGCTTTTCTTCTACATAGTTCACGCACTTTGACTTTTGTGTTTAACTCCTATTCAACCTATATAAGTAAGTAAAATTATCATCTTTTTTCACTTAAACTTTTTTTCTTTTCGCAAGAAAGACTAGAATTCCATCACTAGAAAATCTCAGGGGGAAATAGTATATTTTATATGAAGAAAAAACAAAAATATGATGAACCCCATGTTTTTTACATATGTCTTGAATTATTAACACCTATTATATACTTCTGCACCTCTCTGTCGGTTTCCTTGTGTCTTCTTCTCTTTTCAAAGGTACTGCCTTAAACGAAGGTACTGAAACAGTGCCGCTATCCTCGGAATATTGCTAGCCCACCTGGTGAATAACGGAACCACCTCTATCATGAAATCTGCCGACAAGTTCAAAGTTGGTCTCATATACAACTGGAAATGTCACAATTATGGTGTACTTACCGGTGAATTTGAAGTTTTATGGACTTTCAAACACTCTATGAATCATTTACTTACAATTACTGTTCATTCCGCATCTCTTATATTTCACGCTAGCACCTGTACAAAAATGATACTTACCTTCCACAATTA